TTAATAACGACAATGAAAGAAAAAGAAGGAAGCCATATATACATAATCTATATATTTACTCAATATCTGTGGTGGGGTTCAGCTGGTTGGTGAGCTTTTGCTATGGTACAAACTACAAACAATGCTTACCAGGACAAAGCAGGTGGTGATGGGCCGCAGCAGCAGAGCATACAGCAGATGAGGAACTTTGCTTTTACAACAAATACAACCACATCTAGGACCCTACCAACCTCCCATACCATCATCACACATTTTTATTTTTCTTTTTTATTTTCTTTCCTAGATCCAATTCAACTTCTGCACACCATGATCCCTCTCTCTTCTCTTCTGTTCGGCTGCAAAGAAAGTTAGGATTGAACTTCATGTCTTGGATTGTTCTGGCATCAACACTCAAGTCGCTCACATCAACAAAAGCCAAAACACAGTAGAGATATGCAAATTGAATGTGTACCATTTTTGTACCAGTGGGTCCTAACAGAGTCAAAAAGAAAACGATCTGCAGCTGCTGAGAAACTCACTACACAGTCAAAATTATTTTGAGATGGAGTGGGGTTTAATAAACCAAGAAGAAATGGAAATTAAATAACAGTGAACACTGTTTGGTCTCCACATAATTAGGTCCAGCTTTACTAACAAAACCATTATGCAAATTAGACTTCCATCATACACAGCTCAAGCTACAAGAAGCAGAGCAACCAAAAAAAAAAAATAGCATGCTTAGATAAGTTCCAAGCATCAGCATACTCTCAACCTTTTCTAGCTGAAAAAACCAGATAATCACTAAACCTAATTTAGTAGATTTGGGTTACCCAAAGAAAAACAATAAGAAAAATAACCCAGATCTCATAATAGAAAAAAGACTAAAAATCCACAAGCCAAACATTTACTGCGCCATCCCCAGAGACACAAAATACTACCAGGGAAAAGGAAAAAGAACCCCGAAACCTAATTAAAATCATACATCTAGATGTCAGTCTCTTGCTTGGTATTAGCCTCCTCCACTACTCTCATTACTGCACCACACTGTACAAACCACCGAAACACGCACTATATACATCAAGAGAACACCATAATTACCTCTACTAGAACGATTAATCTACTTTCTCTCAAGGACTTGACGAAGATGCCTCTTGCCTCGGTTCTCTTAGATATCCGAGCAGCGTTTCTGCCTGCAAAAACCCAATGGAGCATTTATGTCAACTTCACAAACATATGATTGGTTGAATCCAACAAAAGGATCACCAAAATTTTGAACAGAAGTCAACTACCAAAACACCTTATCACACTAGAAACCTCATGAAACCGGTTTGTAGAATTGCATCTCATCGACTTCATAAACAATATAAAAACCCCAGTCAAGATAAAAAGTGTCAAACCCCAAAAAGAATTTCAATTAATAATAGTAATTACATATTTCAGTGCCCACAAGGTCTTCAGCAACATCATAAATCATACTTCGATCAGCATAGCAAACTCACCCAAGTTTATCATCAACAAAAACAAGTTACCTTATTCTTAGCTCGAACACTGACGCTGCCAGTCTGTGAAAGAGCGACCAAGGGAGGAATCCCGCCTTCCCTGACGAGCAAACCACGATTTCTAATGTTATCAGCACACAGATGCAAAAGCGTCAAGACAGCGAACTCTTTCCCCTTAACGGAGCCGTCCTCTATGGCCTCGACAAGGGCGGGGATCCCGCCTTCTTCCACGATGGCCTCCCTGCCTTCCTCAATAGCCGCCAAGCTGCTTAGCACCACCATCGCCTTCTCCGCCATGCCCGTCCCCTGCTCTGCCACCAGCCCCACCAGCGGCTTCACAGCACCGGCAGTCACGGCGCGCTCCTTGTTCTGCTTCAACGAACAAAGCTTGTAAAGAGTTGTCAATGCGTCCTTCTTCCCTCTGCAAGATCCGTTCATCAGTAGCGACACTAGTGGCGGTATTGCCCCGCAAGCTCCGATTGAGCTCTTGTTCTCCTCCAGCAGAGAAAGGCTCAGCAGCGCGCACGCGGCGTTTTGCTTCGAGATCTCCGTGCCCGTCTTGAGAACGTAGACAAGAGATTTGATAGCCCCGGCGTTCGTGATAAGCGTTTTGTTCTGCTCGTGTAGCGAGAGATTCAACAGAGCCGTTACCGCGTGCTCTTGTGTCCACGGGTCGCTGCATCGCAGGAGCGGGATCAACGCCGGAATCGCGCCTGATTCTCCGATCAGCTCGCGATTGTCGGACCTGTTCTTTGCGAGGAGCCGTAGCTTCGCCGCAGCCGATCGCTTCACGGCAACCGACGACGATTGAAGACCGTCGATACAAATCTTCACTGTCGGCTGGAGATCCTCTGGCGAGATACTCTCGATTATCTCGGTGGAGAAATTCTCCCTCTGCAGGAACCCGAGACACGGCTCTGGCTCCGGCTCGGCTTCATTATTTCCAGCTCCATTCTCATTTCTCGGTGCAACATCGGGCGACGGCAGGCAGGCGAGCCTCTGCAATTCGCCCGAGATATCGCTGCTGCAAACCGAAAAATCACTGAACGCCTGCGAAATGTCCAGAAATTCTTCTTCCGTGGAGGAGGACTTGGTAGACTTGTTGATTTTAGAGGCAAGTTCGCCGAGCCTCATGTCGATGACGGAATCCGTCAGATTCTCCGACATGCATCCTGATTTATCCGGAACCGAACTGGTGAACGAGCAGGAATCTTCTCGGTAGAAGTTCGATCGTATCGTACGCATCGACCTGCCGATATGCCGGTGCATTTTCGCCGACGACGGAGCACATAAATTTCGGGTTAAAGGAAACCGATTCGAATTGGAATGTGAATCCTCCAGCGAAACCATTTTCGGAAACAAAACAACTTTCCAAAACCACTTCTACAGAAATATCTTGACCGTTTCAGTACTTTTCACTGCGTTTCATGGCGCGAGAGAGAGAAAGAGACAGAGAGAGCGAGAGAGAGAGGGAGAGAGTGAAGAAGAAGATGAGGGGGAAGGATTTAAGGCTGGATTTAGCCACTTTGCTGTGTCTGGTGGCTTTAGTATCTGGGCAAAGCTAAACTCACAGCGCGTCTTGTAAATCTCACGGTCACGACTCAATCAAGGTAAATAAAATGTAACACATGGTCAGTTCTGCTCATATCATATTGGGTCCCACACCTGATGATGACGGCTTCATCTGATTATTCAAAATCAACGACGGATAATGCCGGTGAAAGTGACGGTGGTCACAACCATGTTTCTTTGTTCTTTTTTATATCGCGGGATTTAAAATTACAAAACTACCCTCATTAATTAATACAACCCAGTGGCTTTTAAAGTGGAAAAAGATTCTGCTTTGGTGCTTACGACAAGCGTCGGTTTACAGTTGTAGTTTTACACGGAAAGGACACGTGTTTGACAGCTTGGCCTTTTTAGTAATTTCATGCAACTTGAAACAGTTTAACTGTACGGTATCGGAAAGCTTTAACCGTCCGATTGAAATCTAACGGTGGATGTTAAGAGTCAAAACATTTTAGCTTTATCGAACGGTGTCTGGTGAAATCCCCGTTACTCGAACCTTCCTAAAAAGCCTCAACAGAAGGTAGACAGTGCCACATCATCCGCACGTGCCTGACTTTTCACCCGATTAACCACACGTGTCTGGCAAGCGAAGATTTGGTATTAGCTTCAAAGGATTAAGAGGAAGATTAAGCGTTACAAATCAAATATTAAATTTTGAGAAATAATTTAATAATTTTTATTAATTTTTCTTCATTTGCATTAATTTAAACTTTAATTAAAAATTAAAATTAAAAAAAAAAACACGAATGCAAACCAGCATTGCAAATATATATATATATATATATAAAATAAAAAGAGTAATAATCATGATGATAACATAATTAATTTTAAATTAATGGTCAATTAGGATAGGTGACCTAAAGATTTGTACTAAGATCTTTTGCCGTATACTAATTAACAATTATATTATAATCTTTCCAATTCAGGGAGTAGAAATTAGGTAGCTGTTCATATCCTATAAAGGACTATTATTTTTTTATATGTATGTTTATGTGAGTATAAATTGATTAATCTTGTTAATTAAGATAGCATAATTTATCATATTTATTAGATAAATCTTATTTTCATTTAATCCTAGTTTTTTTTTAATATATTATATACTTGTTTTTAGGAATGAATATCATGTACTCGTCTTTTTTTTATCATGAGTAAAAATTTTATGTTAAAAAAATTAAAAAAATCTAAAAATTTTCTACATGTAATCGGTTTTATAATGTGTTAATTGCGAAATTTTATTCGTTATATCCGAAATAAATTAACAGGTAATTTATTATTATTTATATCTATAATAAAATGTTAAGATAAATTAATTAAAATTTAGTTATCTTTAATTATAAAATAAAAAATTGGTCACGTATTTATGAAAATGTAAAGTGATTGTCCGAGAAAATTGTAAGTTCTATTATAAGACCCATACATAAAAAAAAATTATCACATACTGCCGAGATTTTACTTCGTTAATCTCGATATTATTTATAGTTTTATAAGAAATTTGGAGTCTATTGTTGCATTAGATATCTGAAGTGATTTCTTCTATTATGATGACTTTGCTTGCTCATTTATATTCTTATGTGACAGGTTCTATTATTGTTTTTAATATGTCGTTGATGTTATTAATGTATTTTTTTCAGTTCAATGTTAAACTCTTATTTCAAAATAATAATATGAAGAAATGTAACTTACTCGATACTCTTATTTAAAAAAAAAAAAATTGACAGAAATTATATTAAAATTTAAAAAAATACTGTAAAATTATGAAAAAATATTAAGAAATATCGTAAAAATATTACGATTTATTTTTATTATTAAGATTCTAATAGGAAGTTGATTTAAATAAGAACAAATTAACCTTAGCCTACTTGGAATTGAATAAATTTGTTATATCCATTTCCCATTTAGGAGTTTTAAAGTTTTGTACAAGTCCTATGAATACATACATTCATAGAGAATAATATAATCTTATACAAAGAAAGCATTATTTATATAATAAGTATACAAATGATTCTTATTATATCACTTTGAATTTTTTTTTTCCTTTTAAAACTTACATTTTTTATTTTATTATTTATATAATTTAAAATTTGGTTAATGGTGGACAGCTTTAGTCAAAAGCAATATATACATATATAAATATATATATATATCATTTTATTTAAAAAAAATTATTGAAGAATAATTTCCTCATAAACAAATTAGCAATTATCAAATTCAACATCTTTAATTTTTCATATACACTAAAATTATTTTTGTTAAAAAAAATTATATTTTTTTTAATAATATTATTTTTCTAAAAGAATAATAAAAGAGACAAATTGGAGGCCACAAAATTTGAATGGTTTATAATAATACTTAAATTAATAAATAATTAAATGAAATTAGGTAGTCTTAATTATGCAACAAGCTGAGCTGTTTAGCACCCTAACTGCACTACTTAAATGCTGAACAAAATTGAAAAGATCATGTTTGTCCCTACCTCCCTGTACTTGATATAGAGTTGGTACCTTATACATATATATATATATACTAAATACATGTATGTATATATATATACAAACACATTTTTTATATAACATAGAACCAAATACATCCTCCCATAATATTTTAAAATTTAAGTTTAATAAAGTGACCATTTTATATTTATTTTGTATAAAGAATCAATATATATAGTCCATTGTATAAAGTATAGTTGTCAGATATCTCTTCTTCTTTTATCTTATATACTAAAGTATAATTAATTATTATGGTTACTATATATTTATTCAATTTATTAATTAAGCTCAAATAAATTTAAATTTGGTATTATAGTCTCGTAGGCTATTTTTTTTTTTTCTATTTGACCTCAATTACGTAATAGAAACTTTATTATTACTGTCGAAGCGAGCTGAAACTTGTCAATTAACTTTTTGAAGTTACTAAGTAATTTGAGTTTGAGGGTATGAATCTAAAAGAGAATAAAGAAAAGTCACCGGAGAGACCAAATGATCTATTGTTTCTTCTTGTTTTAGTATTTACCCTGAAACTATATTTATACACGAATTTCTGATAAATATTTTTAATCTAAATAAGTTAAGTTTATTGTCGTATTTATTTATCGTATATTCATGTATTTGAACCTAAATTAGAGATTTTATATTTACATTTATTTTCAATAAGGACAGACACTCTTGCTTCATTATTGAATGTAGGAGAAAATCTTCGTGGTAGGACCCTTGTTGCCATGTATGACTTCATCGTATTTTTTCAGTGAACGAGATAATTTAAGGATATTTGATTATGTCTTATTAGTCATACTTAGAAAACTTGAATTTTTTCGGATACAAACTCTTCTTAAATATTTTCGAAAAAGATAAACTAATATAAGGGGGATACTTTTTTAACATCTATCGTTTAAACTTTTTAGTAAATTCTTCATATCCTTGTGCCGATTTTCAGTCACTTTACAAATTTGTTATTTCCTATATTTAATGCATTTACATTGTCTGTATACTTTTTTATATTATCATTGCTCGTCTTCTTTGTATTCTGTTCAACTCTAAACATTACTTGTAATTTTTTATCTGGTATCACTTGAGAATCTAACTTTTTAAGTCCTATACGTGTTATACCTTGTGATCGCGATCAAATAAATCTCAATTTTCTTGTTGGCAATAAGACAATAATTTAGGTTAATACCAAGCTAGCTAACAAATAGGCGTATCAACTTCTTCAATTCCTTAAGCTAGTATTATATGTCATGGTTTCTCCGTCAAATGAGCATTGAAAAGTTATTAAATTCCCTATAGGCACATTGTCTTTTACATATTAAACTAGTTAATTTATTTTTATGTGAGTCATCAATCTCGTTATTATACTCATGCACTTGTCTTTTTTTATTATTAAATTCCTCATTGTGTTTCTAGAAAGAGAATGTCAAAAAATCAACTCAAAACTTGAAAAAACTAGTATTACAATTTTTAACATGTCTCGTGAGAAATAAATGTTTTGTAAATAATATAAAAAATATAACACCAATATATCTAAGAATAATAATTTGATATCTAGATCTTAAAATTCTTAAATAAAAATTTTAAATGAATATAAAATATTAAAAAAAAAAGTTAAAAATAATAAGATTATCAGTGATATATGAAGTAAGTTATTTCCTTTTCTTAGTCATCTAATATTCTTTTTCATTAGTTTGACATAAGATGAATAAGTCATATGCAAATAGAATATAAAAAAATACAGAGGTTTCGATATTTATTTTAACTCAACATAATTTGTTATTGTTTTGAACTTTTTGCGAAATTCTTTGTAGAACTTCCATATATGTATGAAGAGGTATGAGAAAAGAGGATCTCTCTGGCAAAATCTATTTAAGGATTTATCACTATAATACAGAACCCTATTGACTATTTAACAATGGAAATGTATTGTTTGGTTTACCTACCTGCATTAGTATAAAATTTTAAATTCGAAAGAATACTTAAAAAAAAGTCGTTCAGCCTTATCAAATATTTTCCCACGTTGCACTTACAATGATTAGCTTTTTTTTTTTTTACTTTTCTTTTTCTCATAGAATGCAAGAGCTCATAAGCAATAATTAAATTACATTGAATAGATCTTCCCTTAACTAATGCCTTTCTTTTTCTTGATCATATAACATGATGGTTAGCTAATGAGGTGTCTCGAGAACTAATTACTCATTTACTAAGCTTTTTTAAACACAAAATCAATATAAAAAAAACCCATTAATCACATCTAAACATGTAATTAAACACTTTTAAAACCCAAAATAAGTGGGATAATACTAAAAAAAAAAGATTTGATTAGCTCTCTTGAATTTAAGATTTTGATTGCTTTGTGGATTTTAATTCATGATTGAGCACATTCTTGTTTTTGCATACCCTTTTCACAAATTAATTCCAAGTGCCAATGGTTGCTACCACAAGTTTCTTCATTTTTTTTCATGT